TGTGCCTTTTCTTTTCTGTATCCATAACATCTACACAACAGCCTTTTCTCAGTACCACAGACTGACTTAACATTTACAGCCATTTACTCCTCACAACCCAAGTGTTCTTGACAGCATAAATGAACACGTAGCGTACCCACAAAATGGGAATAATTTTGTGAGGATTTAATGCCAGGAGGCCTGTGAAGTGCTCAGCATAGAGCCTGGCACAAAGTGAGTGCCCATTAAATGTTGCTATTATATAATGCCCACTGCACAGAAGACTGAAGCTCTGAGTGACCTGGCCAGGAAGGCGTGGGGCCCAGATCAGAAGCGAGGTCAGTCTGACCCAAGAAGCCACTTCCTAAACCACGGTGCTAAGACACAGTGTTGGGGAGAAAGGCAGTGGGAGAACCCAGAAACTAGCGCTGGCAATCCAGAGGGCAGGATTTTTTTAAGTCCTGACTCTGGCCCAAACTCCCATGTGTGACCTCGGCAATTCCCTTCTGGTCTCGAGGCCTCAAAGTTCTCTGCTGTAAACTGGGGGAGTCATTTCCCTTCCCTGACATGGGGATGTAACAGTGCGAGGGTCAAATGAGAGAAGTGATAGGGGAGCACTCTGGTAGCTGTGAAACCCGACGCTTTTCCATTCTAAGATCTGCACCTCTGGCAGAGGCCTCACAAAATAGCAAGCACCAAGAATTCTAGGCCCTGGAAAGCAAACTTTAGGTACCCAAACTTATAAGGACGGCCTGGCAAACGACCCGGTCAAGTCTCTCCTTGGCCCCGCCCCTAGTTCCTCTCAGTCCCAGAATGTCCCGCCCATATTACTACTGCCCCCTACACTATGGGCTCGTCTAGACGTCAGTCTTCACGTGCTCTCTTCCTCTATTGGCTGATATTCCTAACTCGGGCGAGGGCGCCCTGCCCTGCCCCCTGCCCCACGGCCGTTCTTACTATTGGGCTACCCGCATGCCCCTCTTCCAAGAACCCTCCTTATTGGCTGTAGAGCTTTGCCGGTTCGGGCTGTGATTGGTTGGAAACAGAAGTCCATCCCCTGAGCAACCACCAGAGAGGGGTTGGAGAATGGAAAGGTTGGAGAGATGTGGGGTCAAACTCACGCTGAGCGGGCGGGAGGCAGATATAGGTCTTGAAGAACTCGCTTCGGCGGGCGGCCTCCTTAATGCGGTTGGCAAGCGGCTTGCTGACCTGCCGAATTCCCAGGTATAGCAGCTTCGCCATAGGGAACGCGCCTACCACCATCTTGGCGGTCGCACGGGGCACGCGCAACCTTGCGGACTGGGCGGGGCGCCTCCGATCTCTCCCTCCTCCCCCGCCCGTCCGTCTCCGTGCGTGCGTGCGTACGTGCGTACGCTCGGGGAGGGGGCACTGCAGGGGCGCCCCCTGATGTCACCGCGTCGACGCTGACGTTTGACGTCCGATCGTTGAATATGCAAATAAAAAGCGGAAGTGAGGCGGGTCAGGGGCCGGAGCCGTTAAACTGCTGCTCGCGGGAGCGTGGTTGGGTTCCCACGCCCGCTTTGGCTGTTGTCACCGTGTTCTTTCGTGACGTCTGGTACTTAGGTGGCTTCCCCGCTTAAAGGAGTCTCTTAATTAGTCCTGATTAGGGCTAATGAGTCCCAAATGCACTTTCCCCGCAGGTTAGAGCCCTCACTGGGAATAAGAAAAAACCGACCATGAAGTCATACAGACCTGGGTTGGGACCCCAGCTCCGCCCTTTGCTTGCTTGTGATGTTAGGCGAATGACGTAACCTTTCTGGGCATCAGTATTCCCGTCTACAAAAGGGGACTTACCTTGTTAGGTAGTTGTAAGGCTTGCCTGCGAATCTTGAATGTCAAAACAGTGAGTGAGCCGTGATAAGTGGTTAGAAGGTGCCAGTCACCGCCCTCGATACACAGCCCTTAATGCTATACAGGTATTAACATTATTATTGCTAACTCCAGCCTGAGGGTGCATTCCATTTCCAGAAATAGCTAATCCAACCCTTTCCTAAGTGACTGAGGCACGGAGTCGGGGCGGGGGGCTAGCAGAGGTCTCTCAGCCAGCAGAAGGGGGATAGCCCAGCGTCTTGGCTAGTAAAACCACACCCTTCTCAAGCAGCCCCACTTCCTCCATTGGTGGGCGAGGGTCCCCAGGGAGCTGGCTCAAGAAGGAGTTTAAGGACATGTCCCAGACTGTCCTCCTTTACCCAGCAGGGAGCAAAATCATATAAACAAGGTCAGGGAGGGGTTGAGAGAAATTTCTGGATGACGGAGTCTTGATGGGTAATTAAGAGATTCTAGGAGAGAGAGGGGAGGGCAGAGGAGTGGTGTGTAGGAGGAAGCGGCCCTTCAGAAGGCAGAATCAGAGCAACCGGGGCTTTCCAGGGGGGGGACTTGGGGCTTTCCTCGGCATCCACTCAGACTCCTTTCGTGTCCTTTGTCAAATCCCTGAGACAGATGGACCTCCTTATCTCCATCTGTAATAATGATGGCACGGACATGTGTGAACCCGGTTATTCTAAATTAGTAAAAATGCCAAGACTCCATAAAAACTACCCTTCTGGACTGAAGGTGTGACAGAACTTGGGGCCTATTCAAGGTCAATTATCTACTTGGAACTAAACCCCTCCCCAATTTACAGACTGGCCAACTGAAGCCAGAGGAAGAAAAGGATTTATCCAAAGTTCCAGGGGTAATCAGATTGGAGCTAAGTCCCAGAGTGGATTTCTGGGTCCCAGCCAGGTCTTCTCCTTATCCCTGGGATGTTAGTCTGAGGCCCAGAGACCTATTCAGGGGCTGAGGTCCCCCATGATGGGTTTAGGAAACTTCCAAACCGTACATGACTTTTTTCTGTTTATTTCACGGCTGTTTCCTCAGCTCCTAGAACAGTGCCTGGCACACAGTAGGTGCTCAATAAATATTTACTGAATAAACGGGAATGAGCATTTGGTGGAGGGGCAGAGGGCAGGCTGTCATCTGATTCTCCCAGGAGACTGTGTTCCAGAAAGTTCTGGCCCCTTATATGTCCATCCCAGTAGCTTTATGGCTTTGGTGTGGGAAAGTTATGAGGCCCCGTAAATCCCAGGCTTCCCTCATTTTCTCTCCGCACCCAACAAAGCCCCAACTTCCTGCATATCAGTTAACCCCCCTCCGGCAAAACCATTTTCCTCATGGAATCTGTTG